CACAACAAAACCCGGTCTGGCCCTGCACAACAAAACCCGGTCTGGCCCTGCACAGTGCCGCTGGACTGGGCTGCAAGGGAGCCGCTGGCTCAGAATGCAGGGCGGATCCGGCTCCTCTACAGCTGCTCCCGAGTCCAGCCCGGGACTTCCCTGCAGCCCTCCCAGCCACTCGCTCTGCTAATCCCGGACATTGTGAGTGCTTTACAAATTCCCCCCGGACGCTATTTTTAGCACACAAAAGGAGGACATGTCCGGGTAAATCCGGACGAATGGTAACCCTAACTAAATCTTCCTATCACCTCTGGATTTTCAGTTCACCACTCATTTACTTTAGTGTCAGCCTAGTAGCTTTCATGTTATGGATATTGATCCTTCAAATTTTTTTTAAGTTGTACAAGGTACTAAGAGGCTTGAAAAAGCATGTGCTAAAACATATATAAATAAATCAAATTAAGGAGAGCTCTTGGATTGAGCCAAGAACTGAATACTCCTAATCGCCACATTGCAATGATGCATCATTCTGGGAGTGATTTTGCTGGTGAGGTTTATTATAATCATGTTGCTGCCAAGACTGTACTATCTGCAGGTAATTGCTGGAGTCTGTTTATTTAAGGAGATGTATTAAGATGTCAGTGGCGCCCAGGACATGAGATGGGTGCACTTGTGTGGTGTAGTACAGTATAAATCTAACTAAAATATTTTTACAGTGAGTTTTCATGAAGGGATTTACCTAAAAAGCCACACACCAAAATAAAAGCAACAGCACAAAGGCATCCTTCTTTTATATCTAAATCTTTATTAGAACAAACCCCAAGAGCTGTAAAACAGTAAGTAACAACAAATTTCATTAAATATTAAACAATTTAGGTATCAAAGATATTTAAACAATACATTCCCAATATTTCTGCACAGCAGAAGCAAACAGGTTTTAGAGCTCAGACTGTCATGTGCTCACATTAGTTTGGTTTTGGCATGAAAATGATAAATCTCTGAAAGTCACATTAAAATGAAAAATGTGATAAGTGAAAATGACAGTTACTTCTCTCTCATTTCTCAACTTTTAAATTGTCTTTTTGTGATTTTACATGTACATATTTGAAATAAATGCTTATGGACCCTTCTGTAACATATAGTAACAGACAATCAGTTTTTATATTAATAGCACTAGTAATTTTAAACATGAAGCACTTATATTTCAATAATCTGTATCAAAAGTTAGAAAATTAAAGGTCATTTATAAAACACTTCCAGAATAGTAAATAATCAGTCTTAAAATGAAGCATCTACTTTACATTTGGGAACCTAAAAAACATATATAACATTGGTGTAACAGATATCTACTAACTTCCCTTTTCATTCTATTTTAAATACCAAGGGCCCAATTCTACCTTCAATTATCTAAATACAATGGGCTATCTCTGAAGCAGAAGACAAAATAGGGCCCCCAGTTAAAGAGTTCAGCATCCCCTAAATTAGATTTAGAAAAGTTTACTAAAGCAAACCAAACAGTCTTACATGATTTTCTTTTTGTAACAAAAACAATTCTCTTTTACTTTCTTTCTTGGAGCATAAAATACTCATGATCTGAAAACAGTAACAGGGAAATTGTGCTGCAGTTATTTAGCAAAATTGTCAAATGTATTTAAAATGCAGTTGATTTTATATCACTTCATTTCAACTAAGCTGGAAGAGTCTTGTTTTTCCTATCTAGCAATTTCTATTTTGTGGTTTAAATTATGTATGTAAACTTTAAAATATAAGCTGGGTAATACTAATAGCCAGTAAGGCACTTTTGTCATAGAGGGCACAGTTGTACAGGCTGGGTGACTGGCAATAGTTTAAAGACTGAAGTTCTATACTACAATACAGAGACAAACTGTTAAGTCTAATCATTTTTAATGTCATTTATTTTCAGAAGGATATTTAAAGAATCTCTTTTTAGAATAAGCTTAATATGATGATTTCTGAAATCTTTTTACTGTCCTATACCAGAATATGCAACAGGAAAACATTTCATATTTTTAAATGCTTATATTTAAAAGAATATTCAGCATCTTCAAAACATCCAAGCCACTAGAATTAAAAGCTAAATACAACTTGAAAAAAAACAAATCTCAGTATAAAAATCGTCGCATCTTGGGTTTTTTGTTTTTTTAAACAGTTTCCTTACCAATTCTGATGGCTTTACATAGAAGCTTTGGTATAAAACATGCAAATAAAAGCCGACAATTAATACAGTGTTGGGAAGACAATGCATCAAACCAGGACTAAATCCAACACGATTGGGTGGTTACAACATTGGGTATTTTCTAATGTCTCTTGGTTTCTACATTCGGCTTGTTCAAAATCTTCAAGAGAGATTTACTCATATAATAGGGTCTTTCTGCAGAGCCATCATGTCTTTCTAAATCTTCCACTAGGAGGAAGAATGGCACAAAGTAAATGATCAAAGCAGTACAATAAGAAAAGTAATAGCACCACCTGCTGAACTCTTAATGCACAACAGCTCTCTTAGCGTTCTAGGTTTATTTCAATACTTGATGTTTTGGCATTTATTATACTGTAAACAGTTGGAATAATAATCAGCCTTTTGTCACGATATGGGCCTGTCTCTACCCTTTGAAATCAATGGGAAATTTTCCCACTCACTTCAGTGGGTGTAGGATCAAAACCTATATAATAAACAATCTTAACATACCATACTTAGCCCAATATTCCACTTCCCTAAAGTGAGGAAGTACATAGTAATTAAGTTTTATCTTCATGTTTAAGCAAATAACAGAGTAAAGTGCCAAATTCACTGAATTAACTGGGATTGCGTAGGTCATAAATTGGCAGAATTTGGCCCAAAGGATTAGTTAGGAATCATTATTTTAAAAGTATGATTTATTTTGCAAATTAGTACTTGTAATAATTTCTGCCTACATTATTCCAAAATATTCAGTTTTCTTTGACCAATTTTAATTTTAAATAATTTTAAAAAGTATTTCAGCTGATTGACTGGAGAATTTAAGCAATATTGCTTTGCATTTTCACAGTTCTCTTAATTGCTTCATTTTAAAAAATGGCTTTTAAATGCTCTTCTCAGAAACATTGTAAATTTATAGTCTAAATTAATTCTCACAAAATAGTAATGAATGGAGGAACTTTATATATATATATCTATGGTATATAAACAATCAATTCAGTTTAAAACTTTTAGAAATTCTAGCAAATGCATAGGTTTATTAAGAAAACTTCTAATCATATGACTATTATTACTATTTCTATTATGTCATATTCATATTCTATTATGTCATATTAAACTCTACGGTTACATTCATATGGCAAAAAGCGCATTTTACTCAGAAATACGCTTTTTCAGTAGAGCACCCAGTAAAACTCTTCAATCCACTGCAGAACTGTAGATGGCTCTGCTCAGTCTTTCTGGGTGCAAATTAATGAACTAATTACAGTACCATCCTATATTACATTGGGGCCTGATCCAGAATAGCAGATCAGCAGACTTTTAGGTGATGGAATGATTGCACGCAGCCCAAACAGTTCATTCTAGCCTAAATTTTCAAAAGAAACTTGCATTTTTGCTTCTCAATTTTTGGATACCCAATTTGAAAAGCCTTGTAAAAGAGCCTGGTTTTCAAAGAGTGGGTGTTCAGCACTTTCTGAAAGCCAGGCTCCTTTAAAGTGTCTCAAGATGGACACTCAAAAATCAAGGCCTTCAAAAGCACTAGTCACTTTTGAAAGCATAGGCCATGTGATCTTAAGATCCTTCCATTCCCCAGGAGTTACTCCAAACATATGGGTGGAATAACTCACCTGTAGTCAACTGATTCAACCTATGCTAGTATTAATAAACAAAATTACTCAGGCATGATGGGAATTTCCTACTCCCCTCCCATTCACCCAAGTGCAGGTTGGAGGAAGGCCCTCCTTTAATCTCTGTTGTATTATACCAACCCTTGTTTCTTGGTTGACCTTGGGAATGGAGCTGCCTCCAGAGAGCAAAGTATGGGCTCTTAAAAATTCTTTCCCACATGACTGAATCTTCAGCCAACTGAAAAAGAACCTGCCCCTGTGTTCTGACGCTGAGGTTCTCATTGAACTCCAGGAGCTCACTTTCTGTAATAGCAACAGAGCTGGATGATGTTGCCAATTCTACCCCTGTTAAGTGGACTGCCATGGAATACTTAATTCAAAATTCTGTAGCCCATGAAGGCTAGAACGTAGCCTCACTGGCTTTGGATTTCTAGATGCTCCTGGGATGCTGGCCCATTGGGCCCCCTTAAACTTTACAACAATTATTCTACATTAGTATTTAAATAGGTTAAAGTATTTTTAGCCCCAGTCACAAAAGTAACATCACCTTGAAAGGTTACCCCATTCCTCCTACTTACAGTAATCATGAATTCTTTGTATTACTCTTCACAAATCCTCAGATAAAACGTAGGGCTGATCCTGTGAGCCCTGCACAAGTGGAACTGTCATTGACTTCAGTGGTAGTTCCATGCACAGAAGGCTTGCAGAATTTGGGTTTTAGGGCTTGCCTACACAGCACCAGATAGGTGTGATTTATAAAACCCTCTAATGTATTACACTAACGGCCCGGTGTAGACCCTGCTGGTGTGCTCTAAAAGGAACCTAGTTTGCCGTAACATATTCCTGGAGGGATAGCTCAGTGGTTTGAGCATTGGCCTCCTAAACTCAGGATTGTGACTTCAATCCTTGAGGGGGCCATTTAGGGATCTGGGGCAAAAATCTGTCTGGGGATTAGTCCTGCTTTGAGCAGGGGGTTGGACTAGATGACCTCCTCAGGTCCCTTCCAACCCTGATATTCTATAGTCCTTTTAGAGTGCATCAGCAGGTCTACCCAGGGCAGTTAGGGTGCAACACATTAAAACGCTTTACAAATCACACCCCTCTAGTGTGCTTTGCTGGCACCATGTACATAAGCCCTCAGTGTAAAATTAACGTGTATTACACCAACAGTATAAAGCTAATACTAGTCTTTGCATTTATAACCATGCAATTTTAATGATTTAAACATACACCAAACATTATGGGCCTGGCTCCTTGGTCTAAATAATTAGTGCTCTGCTTTATCAGGTGAGAGACTCAGATTTTATTTCTAGCCCTGGCCACTTACTCCATGGGCTAACAGGAGCTGAGAGTCCCACAGAGACAATGCATTCAGCCTGTGGAAGGAGGGAGGAAGCCCATCTGGGATGGACACAGGAAATAAGAATTCCTTGGAGCTTATAGAGGGCCATGAAGACCTGCCTCTAAGGAAAATGGCTGCATTTCAGTTTTTCCTTTCCATACTGCAGGTGGAGCTCAACCTCAACATCATGTAGAATAAAATCATAGAACCATTAGGCACAGGGATACTAATACAAGGGCATCTCCCATTCACATCAGCTGAAAGCTATACATTTTTCATCTTGCACCAGATGGAAATAGAAAGTTTGTGGGAACCACAAACCATGTTCTTCAGGTACAGTGGAACACTCCTTCAATGGAGGTTAATGTTTGTTTAACCCAACTTCTGTTCTAAAAGGGGTTATGTTATAACAGATTTCACTATAAAGCAGTTTTAGCTGTAGTCTACTCTAGCTACCTTCTTTGAGATTGAACTTGTGTGATACCCTTTCTCTTATTAACATATACAATTTGTAATGGAGGTGATCAACAGATCTATGTAGGGAACTATTAGTACATATATAATCACAGTTTAAATCGCTGCCAACCAGCTTGTACAGTAAAAATACAACCATAGCACCATATTTACAAATTTAGTACCATCTGCTGGTTTGCTAGAGTCTCTTGATCTATTTTTATGGCTAATTAGGTTACATTGTAGTGCTTTCAAAAATTGCCTGAATATCATTTACAAAGATACACTTATAAAAAAAGAAATGTTATCAAAACAGCTGTCATTTGAAACAGCAACCTGTGTTACAAAAGTTATTAAAACACCATTAGCTATGGATAAAAAATGATTCAAATTTACATTTTCCTTTTTCATAGGCACTCTATAAACTAAAACGTGGCCTTGTTTCACAGCTCTTAGTTTAAGCATTTCCCTATCTAGTTAGATGTTACCAAATTGCTAATTGATTTTAGATACAAGCAAAAAGAAAAAGAATCACCCACCAACCAGAAGCATCATTTACAGTTTTAACTTTTGCCTAGTTTATACACATCCCACTTAAAAGTGACATTGTTTTGATTTTCAGCAATTTTTTAAAGTTATCCCATTGCCTTCTTAGGGCTTAGTTCCTTCTTTCCCAGAATTCGGTGCAGACTAGCTGACATGTAGTACGGTTTTGCTGTGGATCCATCATTTCTTTCCAAATCTTCACCTGAATTTGCATCAGCAAAAGCAGCCAAAGCAGCAAGCAGCAGTGCAATCAAACAAAAAATGAACAAACAAACATAAAAGGGTAGAGAATTGAACAAGAGAAAAAGCAGAAAAACCAACATTAGAAAATCTGATACCAGACAATTTAGCTGCACTGTTAAGTTGCTGGTGGACACTGGAAAAAGCTCCAAGTTCCACTTTTTTCCAAATCAGAGGAGGTTTTACACCAAAACCGACAAACATCAGTGGAGGGCTACATTGACATTCTAAAGTCATGCACATCAATCCTTTTAATTCTTCCAGTTCTTTTGTTTAAAAATTGCACTGGAATTTTCAGAAGTGCTCAGCACACACAACTATGGCCAGAAGAGCCTGGTATTGTGGATGTTTAGTTTTTTGAAAATCTGGCCAAAAGTGCCATACAAGAAACTGCTGGGTTTTGAGCACTTTTGAAAATCCATCCCTAAAAGGAAGCAGAGCTTTTTTGAAAATCTGACCCCATAAGTGCACAATTTTGCTCCCATAATACAAGCTGTATATGACATGGGAAGCAGAGTGAAATGTAAGTTTTGAATAATGGCATGGAGACTCAGTTTTGCCATACAAGGAAAGAAACCTACAAGAAAATATTAATTTTCCCATTAATTTTAATGCATTTCCCTTCTACCTTCCCTGTCCCCCCAAAAGAGACATTAAACAGTGAATGATCTAGTGAAAACTAGGAGATATCTTCAGAGCTGTGACATGAGTTACTGCTGGTTATTAATATTATACCTCAAATTATAAAAGAATGATTTGTACTCTTCTAAAGAATGCTCAAGACTGAATAGATTTGCTGTGCCTTGATTGCACTAATAAACTAATATTTTGCATGTGTACAGACCCTTTCATGCAAGGATCCCAACCAGTTTGCAAAGATAGATGAACATTTTACTGATAGGGAAAATGAGACCTTGAGCCATGTGATCTGCATGGGGCTGCTTGTGCAGATCATTTTGCAGGATTCAGCCTAAGTGTCACAAAATGAGTCAGTGGCACAGCTCAAAATAAAAAAAACTCATGTCTCTTGACATCTAATTCTCTGCTCCAAGACAAAGTACTTGTTCATCTAAGTCTTGTGATCAAATGGAGAAGGAAACTGATTGATTCTTGTGAGCCTCTAAACGCCTCCTCTCTGATTCCTCTCTCACATCAGTGGATTACTCCTGATTTACATTGCTGTGAAAGGAGAAACAGGGCCCATTGCAATAAATAAATACAGATGGTTATTAAAGGTGGTAGGAAGAGGTCAGGAAATGGTTTTGATTTACTTGATTCTGTATCACCACCGGCATGCCAGTGTGCTCCAAGTCCTGTGTCACTGGTGTTCTGGCCTGTTCCAAGGGAACGGAGGCTCCAGGCAGCAAGGGCTAAGCTTGGGGTCCAATTCACTACAGTAACTCATTTAACGTTGTCCCACTTAACGTTGTTTCAATGTTACGTCCCTGCTCAATTAGGGAACATGCTCATTTAAAGTTGTGCAATGCTCCCTTATAACATTGTTTGGCTGCCTGCTTGTAAGATTCTGTGGAAGAGCAGCGACTTTACAAGGGAGCATTGCACAAGTTCTGCTTCTCCACCACCTCCCCCTCCCTCCCAGCATTTCCCCCACCACCAAACAGCTGTTTGGCGCCACTTAGGACTTTCTGGGAGGGAGGGGGAGGAATGGAGACGCAGGACTTCCCCACTTCTGCCCCTCCCTCCTAGAAAGTCCTAAGCGCGAAGTGCTGGGAGGGAGGGGCAGGAGTGGGGAAGCACTGTGTCTCTGCTCCTCTCCCTCCCTCCCTCCCAGAAAGTCCTAAGCAACGCCAAACAGCAGTTTAGCGGCTCTTAGGATTTTCTGGGAGGGAGGGGGAGGAGTGGAGACCGTGGGGCTTCCCTGCCTCCTCCCCCCTCCCTTCCAGCACTTTGGGCTTAGGACTTTCTGGGAGGGAGGGGCAGGAGCGGGAAGCCCCGCATCTCCACTCCTCTCCCTCCCTCCTAGAAAGTCCTAAGCACCGCCAAACAGCTGTCTGGCGGTGCTTAGGACTTGGGGGGGGGGGAGGGATGTGGAGTGGGGGTGGGAAGATGTGGGCCTGGAGTGCAGCGGGGACAGGAAGAGGCGGGCCTGGAGCATTCCCGGCAAAATCCGAGCCTGTTCTCCGGGGAAGCTGCCGCTGCTGCTGCAAAGGTGCTTCCTAGCGTCCTTGCCTGCAGCGGGGCTGTGCCTGTGTGGGGTAAGCCAGGGGCACTTCCCAACCACAGTACAGTACAGTACAGTATAAAGTATAATGCCTTTTGTCTGCCCAAAAAAATTTCCTTGGAACCTAACCCCCCACATTTACATTAAATCTTACGGACAATTGGATTCGTTTAACATCGTTTCACTTAAAGTTGCATTTTTCAGGAACATAACTACAACTTTAAGTGAGGAGTTACTGTACTTTGTTTCTAACAATGGGGCTAGATTTCAGAGGAGTTAGAGAATTTATCCAGATAGGAGGTGGGGGAGGCAATTAAGCCCTTAGTCGTGCTTACCTGCCTCAAGGTCCCACTGCCACAATATGCACTTAGGAACTCTTGGCCATAGGGACTATTTGACTAGTTAGCACAGTCAAATAATGCAGCCAGATGCAATGTTAACCAGTGCAATGTACTCCTGCTCTGACCTGCCAAGGTCTACTCTACTGCTCCCATTACAGTAGAATCCAATCTTTATGTTTTAAATTTTATTAAGTCTGGCAAATGGAATGAGTTCCCTTTAGCGAGCACACCTTGTTCTTATACTTAGGGTCTAAACTGAGACCAATTGATTTCTCTGGTAATTTGAGCATTCCTGAACAAGAAGTCAAACATGCCCCTAATCGCCTCCCTTTCAAGAGTCAGCAACTGTTTGTTATGGGGTCACACGGGACTGAGAGTTTTAAAATAGTATTTTAAGGTCATTTCATGTTAAGTCAGCATGAAGCTTTTGTCGTGGTTATTAGTATGTAACCAAAGGACAGTGACGTTATCAGCCACATAAAGCATTTGCTGAAGGAGAACACCTGAGTGCAAAGCCCATTGGCATTAGTAAGACGTGTGCGTGAATTGTTGCTGGACACGTCTGGTTACAAAACACCCAGAAGCAAAGTGTTAGTAAAAATTAGGAAACATTTAATAAACAAAACGCCAGATACCCCAGTGAGCCCCAGATACATTTCACTAGCTTGGCAAATAGGCTAATGAAGGCATATCTGATCACTGAGCTTTACAAGCCCCTCGGCAGTAAAATTAAACCACCTGTATTAAGAACAGCAGCAATTCCTTATTCCCACAATATGCCAGCATGTCACGTGAATTCTGTAAGGAAACTGACAAGGTGACTCTTTACCTGCATGTCATCAGAAGAAGAGAGTTAATGAAAGAGAACTCAATACTTACAAAAGCAGAGGAAAAGTGTATCAACGCACATTGCATAGACACTGAAGAACCCATGTGCAATTAGGTAAGAGCCAATAATGACAGTCTGCAAAAAAACCCAAACACATACATTTGACACATTCATGGCAACATCACCTCAAAGAACAAGAACAAACAAGACAGTCTGCTAAACCAACAGGAAAGGATGTATTTACAGTTCCATAACTCTTCAGTAGGCTTGCTGGTGAGGCAAAAGATCACAGATTAAAGTCACTGTGTGGTGACATACACCTGTTACCAATTTCCAAGATGGCAACTTGGAATCATGTTGTTCCCAGTGCAGGAAAACCCACAAAAGGGCTATGAAACTCTGTTTCAGTTCATGGAGTTCTCTCAGATTGCCCCTTCAAGAAAGAGGGCCCACCACCCAACCTGCAGATATCCCCAGATCTATGAGGGAATCCACAGGGAAAGCATTTACATAGGAGCCAAGTGCTTTCTTTTTGCTCTGTAGACCTCATCCCTTAGGAAGACATGCTGCAATTGGTTCCCCATCGTCTACCCCAGTGCTGTGTGTGGAGGTTTGTGCAGAGCTGGCATGGAACCTAACTCTCCTGCACACGGAAGGTACCAAGTCCCTTGAGGCTCACTGCAGCACCGTAATGGTACAAAGCTACCTGAAGTGAGTCAGGGAGGAATGGAGTTTGGCAGAGCTGGCAAGCCACAGAAGAGGATGCTGCGCCCATTGACAGGATGGTGGAGATGCAGTTGCCAGTAAGTGCTCCCCAAGAACTGACGCAGAGCTGCCCCTCAAAACTCCCACAGTGTCCTAAGAATATAAACTGCATCCTTACCAACAGAGGTACCCAGTAGTAATTTAATGTTGGGGTTTCTTGTGTGAACACTGGTATTCTGTGTGTGAAGAAAAAGAAGGCTAGAACACCTGTAAGAAGCACAGAGCACAGGCCATTAGTTATTCACATAGGTATCTGGGACTTCAACACTCATGAAGAATGGGTAAGACAGGCACAGCTGAAAACAGACTCAGGAGGTTTTGAGCAATAAATCTCTAGATATCAATTATCCCCAGGATCTGTATTCTGACTAGAACAGAAATGGCATATAAATGCATTATCATAAAGATACTGGTGGGGCCAGAAAGACCTGACTCAATTGTTTTATTTCATGAGTGAGACTGGGTTTTATATCAAAACTAATAAATAAGAATATATGATACAAAAAATATATGATAATATAAAACCATCAGACTGATCTTGAAAAAAAAATAAATTAAAAAGCATACGTGAGCAAAAGCCTCTGGCTTTAGCTTTCACCTCTTGGAGGAATATTTAACTATTTGAGATTAAAAATAGAAATGGCATAGCTATTGATAAATACACTTAATGATAAATCTAGGGCTACATACATTAATTCATCATCATATCTGTGCTACGCAGAACAGAAAAGACATGTTAATGAATTATTCTACAGAATGTATCCTTAAGGAGGAGGAAAACATGAATCAATTTCAGCATTTCATGGCTCACATTTCAAAGACAGTTTCAAATCACATTTGCCTTCCCATTTTGAAAGTCAGTCTATAGTAATGACAAAAACATTACAGATTTGGTCTCAATTCTAATTTTCACCTGCTGGTAAAAAATAATCCATTTAGGATTTTTTTTTTAAATGCACAAAATATAAAAGATGGGCATCAATGAAATCATGTTTTGAAACTCTTGTGACAATTTAAATGGCGTGAAGGGGACACCGTCAACTTGAATTTTTGAAATGGACCAATTAAAAAAAAACGGTTTTCTGCCGCATCACACTGAAGAGTATGTCCTGACTTTTATTAGTATGAAAGTAAAAACTGTAAAAATGTTAGGTTTTGTCTGCTCCCCTGCTTGTGTTCAGAAGGGTCCTTTGGACAGGCCTGAATGCAACACTACAAAAGATGCTTAGGCCCACCCAGTCTCTCCGTACACACACCTGCATACAGCTTGCTGACAGTTCAGTTTCAGTTACAGTGCTGCTGTTGCTGCTGATAAATACCCTCTTGCACGGTCTGAGGAAGAATGTGCACCTGTAACACACTGGGGATGGTATACTACAGGTTCCCCTCTCTGCCAGATCCACAGAGGATATGAGTCTGTTACAGTCAAAGGCAAACTACTTTAGTTCAAGGTGTAGAGGCTTATGCTTTTAGTTCTGGAGGTCCCCAGTTCAATCCCCAGTGTGTCAACTAAGATGTCAGCCATCACACACCCACACAAGAACAGTGGAAGTGACTATATAAAAAATACTGTCAAATGCACAAAGTAAGATGAAAAAAAGAGAGGGAAAACATGCTTCTTTGGGCTCAATCCTGCAATTCTTTGCTCATGTGATTAGTACTTATGGTATCAAGGTTTGCAAGAGCAAGTCCTTGATGTGTTGTCTGAGCACAGAAGTTTAGCACATTCTAGGCTAGTAGGGAATAAGAATCAACATCACATTGAAATAACTGACTTACCTACACCGCCAGCAACGAGAAGTTTCCCAAGGAACAACAAGAAATCTGTAACTTTGTCCAGCACTGCAACTCTATTCAACAGAGGACAAACAGTGTTTGAGCACCTCAAAACAGAACATCTCTACTCTTTTCATATTCCATGAAATCCATGGAAAGTTGATGAAATTGGTTCAGAAAAGTCATTGTCTTGCACTGGTCCTTTGGCCAACAATATAACAATGCAAGAAATCAACATGGAGACGATAAAGGAGGGTAGCATTTTAGAATTCTGGTTATTAAATGCCCAGTCTTGTGAGGGACTAAGGACCTTTAACTCCTAACGAAATCAATGAGAGGTGAGAGCATGTTTAAGAAGAATGAATTCAAACTGGAACAGGTACAGAGAAGGGCTACTAGGATGATCCGAGGAATGGAAAACCTGTCTTATGAAAGGAGACTCAAAGAACTTGGCTTGTTTAGCCTAACCAAAAGAAGGCTGAGGGGAGATATAATTGCTCTTTATAAATATATCAGAGGGATAAATATCAGGGAGGGAGAGGAATTATTTAAGCTTAGTACAAATGTGGACACAAGAACAAATGGATATAAACTGGACATTAGGAAGTTTAGACTTGAAATTAGACGAAGGTTTCTAACCATTAGAGGAGTGAAGTTCTGGAACAGCCTTCCAAGGGGAGTAGTGGGGGCAAGAGACATATCTGGCTTCAAGACTAAGCTTGATAAGTTTATGGAGGGGATGGTATGATGGGATAGCCTAATTTTGGCAATTAATTGATCTTTGGTTATTAGCAGGTAAATATGCCCAATGGTCTGTGATGGGATGTTAGATGGGGTGGGATCTGAGTTACTACAGAGAATTCTTTCCTGGGTGCTGGCTGGTGAGTCTTCCCCACATGCTCAGGGTTTAACTGATCGCCATATTTGGGGTCGGGAAGGAATTTTCCTCCAGGGCAGATTGGCAGAGGCCGTGGAGGTTTTTCACCTTCCTCTGCAGAGTGGGGCACGGGTCACTTGCTGGAGGATTCTCTGCACCTTGAGGTCTTTAAACCACGATTTGAGGACTTCAATAACTCAGGCATAGGTTAGAGGTTTGCTACAGGAGTGGGTGGGTGAGATTTTGTGGCCTGCATTGTGCAGGAGGTCAGACTAGATGATCATAATGGTCCCTTCTGACCTTAAAGTCTATGAGTACTCAGCACATTGCTGAACAGGGCCATAGGACAGCAAAACTGCTGACAGCACTTGAAAGCTATTAATTGGGTGTTGCTCTTGTTGATAAAGAAATTAGCATATTTTTCTATTTCAGCCTTTTCTTCATAGCAGGATCCTGGGCAGGCCAGCCCTAGCAGGAGGTGAACTGGGCACCAAAACGTAGGAGACCCAGCATTTGTGCATGCTGTCAGTAGACTTTTGTCCATTTCATTCACTCCTTGCTAGCCACATTGTCTCTGCTTTCAGAATGCACTGAAACCTCAAGCCTTTGTTGAGGTGTCTCAGCACAGCACAGCAGGGGGCAATCTCAAAGCAGGAATTCAGCCCCAGGTGAATGAATGCCAGGAGTCAGAAAAATTGATAGTAAGCCTGCATTGCTCAGTCTTCCTTGTAATCAGACTGAAAACAACAGGAAGGAAAGGAGGCCAGAATGGGGGCTTATTGTAGGGAGTCTCTGATCAAAAACCTGTCTGACTCATGGCATGGAAATGAGACTTGTATTGCAAGACACTTGACAACAATGAAGGCTATGTATATGGTAATATAATGTACCAGCATGAAATAAACATTCAACAACCAAATTAAAGAAAACAAACCATCATTAGCCTGTCAGAGTTAGGAATTAGAGCTAGAATATACAGAGTAGAAAATCCTAATTCAAAATAATACAAGATTTGCCTGGCTCCTAGCTATTGCTCTTGGTGATTAACAGCAGTAGCATAAGGGAGAGAAGTGGAAGCGATAGCTAGGGCTATGATTTTTTTCATGGAGATCATGGTAATCATGAATTTAAGTAAAGTCTGTGAAATCTTGGAAATGGCTGTAAAAACATATTTGATTAGGCCCCAAATCGAGTAGTGTTGCAACCTGGTGCACGGAGTCACAGTACCAATCAGGTTTGGCCCATCTGCCTTCATCTACAGTGGGGCGGACAGGCCAAACCTAAGTAGTGCTGCAACCCTGTGTGCCAAGTTGTAATGCCCAGCTCTGCAGGCAAGAGCTGCTGCTGTAGGGTGAGTACAAGTCAGGCTTGCTCTCCAAACTCCCCCTGAGACACATACCTCTGGGACTACCTTTCAGCATCTCCCACTGTACTCTTGTGAAAAATACGTTAGAGCTCTGATCTGATCTCAGATCTCTGCCACAAAATTTACTAAAGAGACAAGGTGGGTGAGATAATATCTTTTATTGCACCAACTTCTGTTGGTGAAAGAGACAAGCTTTCAAGCTACAGGCCTTGTCTACACTACATAGTTAGGCTGACATAAGCCACCTTGCATTGACCTAGTTGTGCATGTGTCTTCATTTAAATTTGTCTCCCACTGATCTAAGTGGCTTGTTACAGCAATGACCAGTGTTGAGCCATGGTCGATGTACTGAGGTCGATGCAAAATGTGACTGTTACTTATGTCAAACTAACAGACCTCCAGCAGCTATCCCACAATGCCAGACACTGACTGCTCTGGTCACAATTGATAGCTCCACTGCCCAGGGTCATTGAGACTGGAAGGTCCCCTTCCCCTTTAAAATCCTGCACATTTTTGAAATGTGTTTTCCTGATTATCCAGCTTGGTGAGCACACCTCGCAGTTCTCCATTGTTGTGTGCCACTGCCCAGCTGGCCATGCTGGCTACACACTCCAGATGTGCTCTGGCTTGGAGTAGACAGGAGATATTGGATCTCCTGGCCTGTGGGAAGAAGACACTGTGAAAGCACAGCTATGGACCAGTCCCAGAAACATGGACATTTATGAGCAGATTGCTCAGGGGATGCAGGAGAAGGGGTACAACAGGGATCAGCCGCAATGCCTTGTGAAAGCAAAGGAACTGCAGCGGGCATATCAGAAGGCCAGGGAGACAAACTGTCAATCTGGTGCTGAGCCACAGACCGGCCATTTTTACAAAGAGCTGCATGCTGAACTTGGCAAAGACCCCACTACCACCCTGTAGAACAACTTGTGGATACCTCCAAGGAGCCCAAGTCACGGGATCCCGGTGTGAACAGTGAGGAGGAGATGGAGGAGAATGGGGGACATGTGACCGGGAGGTCCAGCTATGACACAAGCCGGGACCTGTTTGAGACTCCACCCATCCAGTCAGTCCTGGCAGTTGAGCATGGACGAGCCCGATGCAGGGGAAAGAACCTCAGGTAAGTGTGCTATTGCCCTCTACATATAGTTTCATGCAACTGAGAAATTTCCTCCTCATTTCCCTCACCCTTGTGGGCCTTACTTACTCTGGCCAGTGCTGTGAGTGGTGCCATGCACAAGTACTCGACAGCAGAAGTGTGCATAAGCATGTCTGGTTTAACAAGGAAAGGGGGAAGTTCTGAATCTTAACTTTCACTTTACATTGTGACTATACTGACAATGGTACCTCTGTGTGTTTTATCTGCAGTTACTGCTGTTGTGATCTTGAGGGGTTTCCCTTTCCACACCCATGGAATGCCTGAGCCACTTACAGAGGAGAAGGAAGAGGACTAGGGATGACATGTTTAGTGAGATCCTACAAGTCAGTGCTGAATCATATCATGGCAAAGGGCCTGGAAGGTAAACATTGCAGACATCCTGGAGAAGGAAAGATCATACAGGGTTTTGGCCCAGGAGTCCCAGGAGAGGGATATTCACCAGGACATAATGACACTTCTCCAGACGCTACAGATTCAACAATCACAGGATCACCTCCCTTTGCAGTCCACAGAGAACTCCATTACAGCATCTCCCTATATTCCCCTCAACATTCCAGGCGGTGTCAGGGGCCATATCCCTACCCTACCACTTCACCCCAGGGGACATTAAGGACAAACAGTTTCACATACACTGACCTGTGAAATCCACAGTTGCAGTACGTGTAGGTAAAATGGACATGAATGTTCTTTCCCCTGTTAAGTTCTGATCCATTAATTTATTAAGTTCTTAATGTATTTGCTGTTAGATTGCACAGATTTTTCTTTGCACTAGTTTTGTTACTAAACAAAACTGGAAAATAATTAATCTTTATTAATGCTGCATAGTGCCTCGCAGTTCTGAAAGCAGCCACTTCTTGTTGTACAGTGTGATACAACTCTTAGGACCAGTGACAAACACAGGGTAATAATCACAAATGTACACTGTAAAAATGAATAGGTGCACTGACAATGTTATATTCATAGATGTGCACCAAGCACCATACAATTCCTAACAGGCCTCAAAACGGCAGGGCCAGGTAGAGCACAGTACACCACAACACATGATTGTTACTTGCTGTTAAAGTGCTCTTCCAAGCTTCCCTGAGCCCTATAGCTGCATGCTGAGCTTTTCTAATAGCCCTTGTGTCTGGCTGTTCAAACTCAGCAGACAGCTGCTCCACCTCTGCCCTTCACCCTGGTGGCAACTTTCCACTTTTCTTCACAGATATTATGTAGGACACCGCAGGCAGCTATAACCACTGGGATGGGTTTTTTTCCACTGAGATTCAATATAGGGTTACCATATTTCAACACTGAAAAAAGAGAACACTCCACAGGGGCCCTGGCCCTGCCCGAACTCCGTCCCTTCCCCACCCCTGGCCTCCCCCCAACCCCACCCCCATTCCAACCCCTTCCCCAAAGTCCCTGCCCCAACTCTGCCCCCTCCTCTGAGCACCCCACATTCCCCCTCCTTCCTCCCGCTCGTCTTGATTGGGGGTTGCTAAGTGCTTCCCTGCTCCCCACTCGCCCCGCAGCCCCTGCAGCCTCTATGCCCTTGGCTGCCCTGCTCCTCCTCACCCTGCAACCCCTGCACCCCCCCACCCCTGCAGCCTCTGTGACCCCTGCTCCCCACTCGCCCTGCAGCCCCTGCATCCCCCCACCCCTGCAGCCTCTGCGCCCCCCCAGTGGCCAGGGGGTCCCCGCCCGCGAGGGAAGCCCAAGCCGCTGGCTGAGCCCGGCCTCCCCGTGGTCCTGCGGGCTCGGCTGGGGCGTGCGTTCCGCCCGTCCTGCGGGGGCAGCGGTGGCCCCTCCACCACCTTCTGCGGCTGCGCCCCCTCCACTCCTCCCGCCCGAGCTCGCTACAATGTAGCTGGGGTGGCTGGGCTGCGCTGCAGACCCGGTGGGTCGTGCTGGGGCCGGGCGGACCCTGGCTTATGCCTCCCTATTTTCCCCGGACATATTCGGCTTTTTTGGAAATTCCCCCCGGACTGGGATTTGAGGACCAAAAAGCCGGACATGTCCGGGGAAATCCGGTAACCCGGATGCATGGTAACCCTACAATAGTATGAGTAAACAATGCCAGCATCCTTTCAATCTACCAAAAGCACATTCTACTGTCATTCTGCACCTGCTGAGCCAGTAGTTGAATCTTTCCTTGGTGCTACCAAGGTGAGCCAGGGGAGCAAGGGGTAGGCTGGGTACCCCAGGATCACTACAAGTATTTCAACATTGCCAATCATAATCTGCTGGTCGGGAGAGAAAGTCCCTGCTTCTAGCTTTCTGAACAGTCCTGTGCTCTGAAAGATGCTCGTGTCATGCATCTTCCCTGATCAGCCCACACTTATGTCAGTGAAGCATCCCTGGTGATCCACCAATGCTTGCATAACTATAGAAAAGCAGCCCTTTCTGTTGATGTACTCTGTGGCAAGGTGGTCTGGTGCCAAAATAGGGACATGTATGCCATCTATCGCTCCACTACAGTTCATGAACCCCTTTGCTGCAGATCCATCCACTATGTCCTGCAGATTGCCAGGAGGAGACAATTAATGGCCCTGCACACTTGCATGACAATGTCCCCCACGATGAATTTGCCAACTCTAAAATGATTTCCTACTGACTGGTGGCAATCCAGCATTCCAAGTGTCCACAGTGCCATTGCCACTCACTTCTTCACTGTCAGCGTAGCTTTCATTCTGATGTCCCTGCGCTGGAGTGAGCTCAGCACACAGATCCAGGAATGTGGCCTTGTGCATCCAAAAGTTCTGCAGCCACTGCTCATCATCCCAAACCTGCATTACGATGCTATCACACCATCAGTGCTAGTTTCTCAAGCTCAGAAGTGACACTCCATCATCTGCAGCTCCTGTATGAATGCCACCAACAACCGTGAAATGGTTCTTGCTGTGTCTCACAGTAACCTGTCCTCCAAGAAACTGTCATGTTCTGCCCTGATTTGGTTATTCTTATGGCTCTCCAAATGCTGGAGGATTGTGCATCCTGTGCTTGCAATGCTTATGACAATAGTGCAGAGCTGTATAGGCGCCATGCTTCCATCAGAGATGGCGAACAGAGAGGATGGCTGCACAAGTTTGTGGGAGTTTTAAAAAGGGGCAAGAAAATTATGGGATACAAGTGACATTATGGGATGGAGACAGCTGCACGCTGGGAACTTGACCCCTGGCCCCAATCACTCATGTGACTTATGTCTGCCCAACCCTGCATTGACTAATCTCCCCAAAAGACAGTGTGCTGGATGGTGGTGGGTTGCAATTTGGGATACCTACCCATGGTGCATTGCATTATGCATCGATACAAGTACCCTGGTGAGTACATGCAGCACTTGTAAAAGGAGCCAAATACACACGCGCAGAAGTGATATACTATCTGCAGCAGCTTTATACCGATGTAACTTGCATTGCCCAAAGTTTGTAATGCAGACATGGCCCACAAAGCTCTTGGAAAGGTACTCAGAGTGTCACAGCTATATACAACAGATTGTTTAGCACACACAGTTAACACGTACTGTAAGACAGTGGTTCTCAACCTGGGGGCCGGGGCCCCCTGGGGGGCCGCAAGCAGGTTTCAGGGGGTCCACCAAGCAGGGCCAGTGTTAGATTCACTGGGGCCCAGGTAACAAAGCCAAAGCCCCAGCACATGGAGGCTGAACTCAGGGGCCCGGAGTCCCAAAACCCAGGGCTGAAGTTGAACTTAGCTTTACGGGGGCCTGTAGTGAGGCCGAGTGGCCTCCCTCTGAGCAGGAGAGTGAGGGACCATTACACTCCCCTTGGAGGGCAGAGCCTAGATCGCCCTGCCTCCCTCGCCAGAAGTACCGGAGGGTGGCCGGAAGTATAAAAGGCAGGCCCTGCAGCACAGTTGTGGCAGAGCCTGCGGAGGAGAAGGACGCTCCGCCTGTTCTGCAGCGTCCCAGAGGGGAACCTTCGCCTGGCTGTTCCCGATCCCCAGATGCCAATGAGGACTGGCCCGGAGTGCCTGCCACGGTGTACCCCAAGGAGCCGGAAGAGGCCTGGAGGCCACAGGTACCGAACCCTGGGGAGGCAGGAAGTGGTCCAGGGGCAGCCATGGAACAGTTGGCTGCAGAGCCAGGGGTGTCAGTCGGCATGTTGGGGCTAGATCCCCACCGACACAGGGGCAGCCATCCCTGCTCCTGCCAGGGCCCTGGGCTGGGATACGGTGGAGTAGGGTGGGCCCGCATTCCCCTGCCACCACACCCCGGGGTGGCCGACTCCCTACACTGTGCAAGGAAGCTCCAGCTCTGAAGAAGGAGCTTCCCTTACCAGCTCCCTTACAGACTGTTGCTTTGCAGGCTGCCCGAGCCCCGCCCAGGCTAAAGCCAGACTTGAACCTGGTCTATCGCTGGCAGCCTGAGCCTCCTCAAGCCCAGGCCCCAGCTCAGGTATAGACTCTGTTTAAGGGCTGGCAGAATGAGCCGCCCAAACCCAGGCTAAAGTCTGACTGTGACTGTTGGTTGCCCAGCCCTATTGTGGGCTCTTGACTGTCCTGCGGATTCTGGTTCTGGCCAGACGGGACTGGACTGAGTGGCCTCCCTCCCCACGGGAGAGCGAGGAACCATTACAGCACCCCATGGCATGGGATTGCAAGCTGGAAGTGACACTGTTCTGGTATTTACACTTGATAACAGGAGTGGAGACTCCTCAGGTGCAGCCCTTTGTCTAACTCTGGTATGCAATGGGCAGGGGTGCTTAACTGAATGGCTGCACCCACAAGGAAGTCCTGGAACCTTTACATACAGCTCAGTCCTCTCCTCCTGCCTCTGTCTAGAAACTCCATTCCCCCAGTCTTTGTCCGCATTCTCTTCTCATTCAGTGTCTCTCCCTCCCTGCTTCTCGCCATCCAGGTCCTCTTATCCTTTCCTGAATAATTTAAACTACCTAACCTCCTTAAATGTGCCTCTTGCTGGTAATTAGGCTACCTCCTATTGCTCCAACATGGCCTCCTCCTAAGGGCTTGTTCTAATCAGCAACCTGCTCCCATTCTTTCTGATCTTCAGATATTACAGGAAGAGCCAGGAGCACGGAAGAGGAGTGCTGATTAGCATAACGAGTTCAGCAGCAGCCCTAGCGATGGAGCGAGGGGGCTGGGGTTCAACACCAGGAGAGATACCTATTATAGACTTTGGTTTTAAAAGCAAAAACATTCCCTCCCTCCTTGTTACTCTCCCAGCCCCCTTCCCTCTCCCTTGCCCCCTCCCCAAGTTTCCTTCCAGGGATTCTGAGGCTTAGATCTAGCTGTTCCTCTTATTAAAAAATGTGAATCCAACCTCAACCCTTGCAAGCTACACCTGGATACCACGATGATGGGTGCCTTATGAGGTGTGTAAGAAATCAATAGAAATGTTGTCAGTAGGCAACACTGCTTTCTTGACAGCCCTGCTGCAGCTCCCAGGGATGCCTAGCCACCTACAATGTCAACCAATTAACCCGCAGCAAAGCTGTCTGTCAGGTTAAATAAAATCATCCTAGCTCAGGCTATTGACTAGTGCTATGGCTTGCCAGATGCATGAGGAGCTGCTAAAAGGGAGAGCAATGTGTGAAGGCAGGACCCGTTACAATTAATTTTCTAGGGGAAAAAGTGAGTTTTCAGAGTGTAATAGCAGCAACAAGAAACATGGCCGCTTACCTCACCACGTTCCGCATTAGCAGAAAGAACGCTTCCTTTGCTGAGGTGCAGAAGTTTTTACCATATATCGCAATCTGCAAAACAGTAACAGTAGATTGTTAACTATATAGCTAATCAAGGACAGCCCTAAGTTTTCTGGGGCCCTATGCAAATGAACACATGTAGGGCCCTACATAGTTCTTTCCCATCTGTGACCAAACCCACCCACCTCCACATATCCATAAACTGTCCCACAATACACTTCCTGCTTCCTGTTACTTCTCACCAGACTGTCACAGAATATCTCAGCCCACCCACCTCTCCAAATCATCTGTTTGTGGGGCTCTGCAGCCTCTGGTGACCTGCTTACAGGAGGGAAAGGCAGGAGGTGGAGACAATACTTAGGTTTCCAAATAGAGCAGCTGGGGAACACGGTCTCTGCCACAGCTTGCCTACAGTTGAGGAATTGAGGATAGCAAGTTGAGGGGTATATAGGGAGAAGCGTTGTGGTCTATCCATCCACAAACAAGCCTAAAGCCACTACTGGGATTTGTGCAAGGATTAGGCACAATAACTGAATGCAAAAAAGCCACTTTAAAATAAGATTAAGGCTACAGATGAACCTGAAGCAAAACCCAGGCTCCAAATGCCCCTGACCTTTGCGGAAATTCAGTCCAGATCTCAACTCTGCAGCTCAGGCCTTTTGCTAGTGGAGGCACAAACTAACAAAATCCGTCTAAGGCAGGCCCCCCCTCCCTTAATGCTGCTTATTACACAGCTCAGATGCCCTGGACATGATTCATATCTCACACCAAAGTAGACCAGGAGTAACTCCACTGAAGTCAGTGTAAGATTGGAGCAAGATCAAAACAGGCCCTACTTGTTCAGAGCTCTGCAAAACTGCAGCATTATCAGGGACCAGGTTCTGCTCACTGCTACTTCTAATGAACTTTAGTTGAGTTAATTTGGATTTACATTTGCATGTCTAAATGCACAGTGTATCCAAAGGGCAACAGCTTTAATAGGGACATGCCTTGCTTTTCCTGGACAACCTCAGTATTATTTTAATATAGGTTATTAAATGCTTTAAAAAAAACACACACACACACAAAAGTCAAGACTTTGTCTATGTTGGAAAATTGACTGGCATAGCTACTGCAGAATAAGCTATTCTGTACTAGCTGTTGTAGAATAGCTGCCTGAGTGGAGACTCGAATAAAAGTGACTTTATTCCAGAGTAATTTACCAGCTCACGCAATTTAGTAAATTCACTTTCTTTCCAGAATAGTGTCTCCACGTGGGGGAGATATTCTGGAATAGTTAAATTATACCACAATAGCTATGCTGGTCAATTTTCCCCATGCAGATAGGGCTGTAGAAAGAACAATTTCCTCCCCTGAAGACTGCACTAATTCTGAGATCCCTTTGGAGCAAACAGAATTTTAATGAAAGCATTAGAGTCACTTCCTCTGAGATAACAGCTCTTAGACTGCAAAACACTTTTACTGAAATTGTTTCAGGTCAAAACAAGACAACACAGGTGAATTCTGCTCTTATTTACAACGGGGTAAATATGGAATCTCTCCCCTGAAACTAATGCAGCTCCTCTGGAATTACACTGCTGGAACTGAGAGCAGAATTCGGCTCTATGATTTTACTGGCGAGTACAAGTGCTGAGTGTTCTGTAGCTTCCTTATTCACAGCAGCACATTTTAACAAAAACATCATGTCGGTATGCAGTATACAGTGTTTGAAGGATGTGGTGACATTCCTATTGAAATCAGTGTTTGAATTGCAGGTGGGGGGGAATGTTAACCAGTCATACTGTATCTCCACTTCTGATGGGTACTGGTGGGGGGGGGGGAGAAGAGGGATGGGGGGGGGGAAAGAGGATACTATCATTTTTTGGGCAGGGACATATGAATTCCCCCAAAGTCACTAAAATCCAATTCTTTACCTTCTAGAGTCAAACAGTGACAGACTGTAGTCAAAGTTAAGCCTGACATAGCTAAAAAGCAAAACATTAAAGTTTTGATAGGGTTACCATATTTGACAAATAAAAAAAGAGGACCCTCCATGGGGCCCTGGCCCCGCCCATTTCCCACCCCAGCCCCGCCCCAACTCCGCCCCTTCCCACCCCAACTCCACCCTAACTCCGCCCCCTCCTGCCTCCCACTCCCAGCCACGCGAAAAGGGCTGCCCGAGCGCTACCAGCTTCACGGTTTGCCGGGCAGCCCCCAGACCCTGCGCTCCTGGCCGGCGCTTCCCCAGCACAGCTGGAGCCCAGGAGGGGAAGCGCCCAGCCGGGGGCGCAGGGTCTGGAGGCTGCCCGGCAAACCATGAAGCCGGTAGCGCTCGGGCTTCGGGCAGCCCCTATGTCTCCGGACCCTGCGCCGCCGGAGCCCGGGAGGGGAAGTGCCCGGCCGGCAGCTGGGGTCCAGAGGCAAGGGGGCTGCCTGAAGCCCATAGCGCTCGGGCAGCTCGGCTCTTAAACAGAGCCGAAGAGTCA